TAAATCCTATGAATGCTAACTACAGTTTTAAAGCTCGTATACCCATTATGAAACCGTTTTTTCAAGTTTTTAAAAAGAAGGCCTTGAAAACACGTATAGTACTGCACTGGACTGTTTGATTTCTCCAGAAGAAAGGAACCATTTTTAGTCAGAGTCTCAAGCCAGGATGATACTGTATTTATGCACAGAAATTTAGAGAAAGCCCTCATTCATTTTTAATCGGATTTTTAAAAACTAAATTCGGCAATGCCCAATTCAAATACATAGCTATTTTTGAAATCCTGCATTTTAATGATTGTCAACGTAAGAATCTCAAAGGTTTGAAAATGGTTCATTAAAACGTGGTTGCCTAATCTGAAACATTTTCAAAAATATTTTTGCATTAATTTAGATATTCTTTTATGCAGATTGCTTTCAAAATACGAATGCAGTACACTAGTACAGTATATTGGAATGAGAAATTCGCATCTAAACCTCATCTTCTGGTAAGTTATTCAATGTGCACTTCAAAACGTGTGCCACATTTCAACCCATATTGGCAATAAATGAGAGCAGTGACTTGGAAAGTATCAAGTACAGTATTATCACGTATTGAGAAAAATGGGTAACCAGACTCATTTACATCCATCTAATAAAAATGACAGCATGGGAAATAATAAGAGACTGATGTGTGAACCAACCCTCGTAATTTTCCGGAATTCCATTCCAATAAAAGTCGAGACTGAAATTTTGTTTCGTTCGTATGATTTGATTAAATTAATTTTTAATTCCCGAAGCATTATTATCGAATCTCGTGCAATAATTCTTTACAAATGAAACTGGAACTCATTTGCACACAATGCACATTTTTTCACAAATCCAGGAGCTTGACATGTCAAGTAATTGTTTTCAGCAGCAAAAATAAAGAAGCTTCCCTCGCCTATTCTTTCTTTCTTTTTGTTTTGCTTGAAAATGATACTGAATTCGTAGGAAAATTTCTGCTGCTCATGCAAAAAGAATGCAAATTAAACTCATGCGTTTGGTTCGAAAAAATTATGCTGCCCCTCTGATCGGCATTGCAAATGAGCACGCTGATCTTCAACCGATTTCCGATGATGAAATACGTACTAATCCTCGGCAATTTTCTTTTCTGTTGCTGGTTCTTATTGTGTTTTTAAATGGTGAATCACTTTCTGCGAAACCGCAAGCAATGCGTAAGCTCTTTTCGTTAAAGTGAGACAACGTTATCTCATCACCGTGTATACGAGGGGTTACACGGTTCCACGCGAATCAGCTTGTTGCTGCTGTTCTGGTGAAGCTTCACAATTCAGCAACTGAACATTTCAAAGGCCTATTCTTAAACTCAAGAATCAAAACCGACTCTTAACAAGTGTTCACTACTGTAACTCTTCCACAGGCGAATCGTAGAACCATGATACTGTTTTTACACAAAAATTTTTTTAAGAACCACAAGTCTAGTAAAGTTAAGGCGCGGCTTTGCTCTCCGCTCGGAAACGTGTAGGGAATGTAGGCCCTCGTATGATGAAGCACGATAAGAAAATGCGTTTTTCCTCCGCACATCCATGTGTACGGTATACAGAAGTCGAGCGTCAAGAACGCGGTTATATGAAGGGAAGATACATCCTGGATAATTGCGCGACACGGGTAGATGAAAACCCCTCGGCATTCCTGAGGCAGGTCGCGATTTTCCACGTAATCACGTCACGTTCCTGCGCCCGAGGTGAAGTGAGAGAGAGAGAGAGATACCTTTTTTTTTCTTCCTTTTCTCGTTCCCTTCACACTGAACTAAAGCTTCGTTTCATTTTCGCTTCACTAAAGATGATGAAACGACAAAACGCATTCAAAAGGTTCGCGAGGCCTCCAGGGCATATATTCCGCATCATCTCGTTCCTGCATGCGGGACTCATTCGGGAAATTCTCCGCTCCTCAACTTGATGATGATGTGGGGGGAAGAAATAAAATAAAAAAAGAAGACAAAGTCTTGAACAAATCAGAGCGAAGATTCTTGCTGCTCAAGCCGGTAACATGATTTCAACTCGTGTGCCTTGCACCACGTTGTTCCATTCAAGAGTCGCCATATGCTCCTTTTCATTTGTATTTTATGTACGTAAGTATCAGGTCGACCAGCGTAAGTAATGACGGCGAATATTGACCAGATTTTCTTTGCCACGTATAGCCTAAGACTTAAAAAGTTCTAAAAAGCTAAGAGAACGTTCCTTCTTCTCACGCAGTTGACGGTGCTTAAGAGAGCTCTTTAGTCTGAAAAGACGTAGTTACACAACGGGTTTAATAAGCGTTCGTTATGCTTAGAATAATGTATTAAACGAATAAATATCGGAATGCTCGTTTAATATATTCTAGATGAGGAAATCTTCGTCGAGGACTGCTTTCTAAGCATTGTCGTGCCAAAAGAAACTTGGTTGAATACTGTATACTCAGCACATCCTACAGGTCTTAAAGAAATTTCCGAGAACAACGGAACCATCGGAGAAGTTTTTTTCAGCCACACCTGCAGGAATTTCACGAAGATTTTAAGAAATGAAATGGTGGACGAAATTCGCTTGTGCCGTAAAGACTTCATTTTTGCTCCTTTTTTTTTTCCTCCCCGGCAAGCCACAGGCAACAATTTTTATCGCCGAATACTCGTTTCAATATCAAACACGCACTTTTCTTTCATCTCGATCCTTACTTGATTCACAGAACGGAGAGCGAAGAGCGATTCCCGAAGACAACGGCACTGAAAGCGAAACACCGACAGCTAAATATTGCTCTACGGAATGACATACAGTCTCTTTTCCGATCAATGTACTCAATCCGAAGATGCACCCCACCGCTTTTGTTTTTCTCTGTGATTTTTCCTCTTCTTCTTCTTTCCTCGCATCACAGGGGATTTTCTTTTTCTTTCTTCCCAGCGAGAGGATAAAATTGCTCTGCAAAAATTTATTGGCTTTTTTTCGCGACGGCGGAGTGATCAGAATCAACGTCCAACAATATATAGCTTCTAGCCGTTCAGGCCAGTGAAACCTAAACGAAACTTAAATCTTCTTCTTTCGGCAACGATATTTCAAAAAATGCTTCATCGCCGTGATACTTGCAATAATTCCACTCCGCAACGATGGTGCAAAATATGAGACTCTTTACATCACAGCCGTTTCGAAACACCGGCGATAGTTTCGGCCCGAACTGTACATCATTGATGAATTCCTTTGCACCATCGGATTGCGGCAATCTCGGTTCGATTCTTTCTTTTTTTTTCAAATAATTTAAANGTAGATGAAAACCCCTCGGCATTCCTGAGGCAGGTCGCGATTTTCCACGTAATCACGTCACGTTCCTGCGCCCGAGGTGAAGTGAGAGAGAGAGATACCTTTTTTTTTCTTCCTTTTCTCGTTCCCTTCACACTGAACTAAAGCTTCGTTTCATTTTCGCTTCACTAAAGATGATGAAACGACAAAACGCATTCAAAAGGTTCGCGAGGCCTCCAGGGCATATATTCCGCATCATCTCGTTCCTGCATGCGGGACTCATTCGGGAAATTCTCCGCTCCTCAACTTGATGATGATGTGGGGGGAAGAAATAAAATAAAAAAAGAAGACAAAGTCTTGAACAAATCAGAGCGAAGATTCTTGCTGCTCAAGCCGGTAACATGATTTCAACTCGTGTGCCTTGCACCACGTTGTTCCATTCAAGAGTCGCCATATGCTCCTTTTCATTTGTATTTTATGTACGTAAGTATCAGGTCGACCAGCGTAAGTAATGACGGCGAATATTGACCAGATTTTCTTTGCCACGTATAGCCTAAGTGAATTTTTCAAGATTTTTCGATTCTCTTGCAAGGAAGAAGAGTGCGTCAACTGCCACGAATTCTCTCGAGAAATCAGACTTTTCTGCATCAATGTGTTGCCCAAATTATTCGCAAGCAATACGAATAAATAATTTAGTAAACGAATAAATATCGGAATGCTCGTTTAATATTTTCTAGATGAGGAAATGTTCGTCGAGGAATGCTCTCTAAGCAGTGCCGTGCCAAAATAAAATCAAGTTGGCGAGACGATGAAGTGGAAAATGGATTTTTATTTGGCAGCCTTTCCTCCAAGTCGAAAGCACCTATTTTTTTTTTTTTGCTTTGTATGAAAAATCAAATTTTACGGAAGTTATCTGCCTACTTTTTCCGAAAATTGAGCTACTGCATTTTTTTTAGTTTAACTTTCATTTTCAGAAAATCAGAAAACATCTGCGGTGACGAAATCAAAGATTTTTCGTGGATACAATTTTTGATTTTTTTCTGTCATTTCAATACTGCGATGAATCCAATTTTTTTTTATCTCAAAGGGTTTAAATTTTGTCAGCAAAGGTATTTTTGGGTCTTTGGGAATTCAGATACAGTACTTCTTCCGCACCTTAACACATTAACCCTACATAAGAACCATCCTATCAATTCTAAAATGCCATGTTTTTGGATTAAAATCATTATTCAATTTACAAAATAAAATATAGTATTCTGTGATGAATTTTCAAGAAGTAATGTATTTTTTCTAAGAATATAAAATGAATCTAGACGAATGATGACTGCAGATCACAATAAGCCATTCAAAAACACATGGGGTAATTAGAAGGGAGAGACATTACATTTTTGGGTGAGATCAAGAGAATTTTAACTCTTTCTAAACTCCAAGGAAAAGGATCATTTTCGGGGTTAGGCTCATGCAGTAAGCTGTGCATAATACTGTAATATCAGGGAATGCCTTCAGTCTTCCTCAGGCTTAATTATAGGAGAAACGGAGGAGGAACCACGAGCTTCGATACTATGCTTAATTGGTTCGAGATTTCAGAGTAAAGTACTTCTCAAAATCTTTCGTTTCAATTACTGGATTATATACTGTACTCAGCACATGGTCTTGAAGAAATTTCCGAAAACAACGGAACCATACGAGAAGTTTTTTTCAGCCATACCTGCAGGAATTTCACGAAGATTTTAAGAAATGAAATGGTGGACGAAATTCGCTTGTGCCGTAAAGACTTCATTTTTGCTCCTTTTTTTTTCCTCCCCGGCAAGCCACAGGCAACAATTTTTTATCGCCGAATACTCGTTTCAATATCAAACACGCACTTTTCTTTCATCTCGATCCTTACTTGATTCACAGAACGGAGAGCGAAGAGCGATTCCCCAAGACAACGGCACTGAAAGCGAAACACCGACAGCTAGATATTGCTCTACGGAATGACATACAGTCTCTTTTCCGATCAATGTACTCAATCCGAAGATGCACCCCACCGCTTTTTTCTCTTGTGATTTTTCCTCTTCTTTTTCTTTCCTCGCATCACAGGGGATTTTCTGTTTCTTTCTTCCCAGCGAGAGGATAAAATTGCTCTGCAAAAATTTATTGGCTTTTTTTCGCGACGGCGGAGTGATCAGAATCAACGTCCAACAATATATAGCTTCTAGCCGTTCAGGCCAGTGAAACCTAAACGAAACTTAAATCTTCTTCTTTCGGCAACGATATTTCAAAAAATGCTTCATCGCCGTGATACTTGCAATAATTCCACTCCGCAACGATGGTGCAAAATATGAGACTCTTTACATCACAGCCGTTTCGAAACACCGGCGATAGTTTCGGCCCGAACTGTACATCATTGATGAATTCCTTTGCACCATCGGATTGCGGCAATCTCGGTTCGATTCTTTCTTTTTTTTTCAAATAATTTAAATTTTTTTTTCACCCCTATGAACAAGAAAAACGACGCCCTCAAGCACACCAGCACCCTTCCATACACGGTTTTTGTTTTGTTCCAACGTTCATCTCACTCAATGTTTTGAGAACTGCTCGCACCAAAACAAAAAAAAGAAGAAAACCTATAGAGCAGCAATCATCGCTTTCAACTCACGAATACACGGAAACCAATAAAATAAAAATATACGCCCGTTCGGAAGTCCACACACAGGGGGAAAATCGTTTGCTGAAAATTACCAGGGAGAAGGCAGTCACGTTTTGCTAAAATTCGAAAGAAAAAAAAACCTCACAGATCCACCGATGAGAAATTTAACCTTTGAAAACGAGAACCCAGCGTTCGTTCCGACAAGCAGCGACATCGCGTTTCAAAAGAAACAGACACCCGGACAGCGTTCGGCCAGCCAATGAGACCTTCTACCACAGGGTGTCGTTCCTTCTTGCTACACGCGCGCGCACACACATTCACACACGCGGAGAGATACCAGCAGCAGCAGCATTCCAAAATTCTTCGCGAATTTCAAATTCCATCTTACTTTTGACGATTGAAACCTGACGGAAGATTCTTTTGAAGAAGTTTACTGGTTATACGTCCTTTGGCGGAACATTGCTGTGATTTCCTCAATGCCCTTATTTTTCGTTTCGGGCACGAATTTGTAGGTGAATGCAGAAAAGAAGAACAGCAGACCGGAAAAGATTAAGAACACGTACGGGCCCATTTTCGACTGAAAAGAGAAGAAATGTACGAGATGAACATCATTTGATTCTCATGAATACCAATTGCTGAAGATTTAGAAACTCGCTCTTCACCCAGGCAAAAAATAAATAATAAATAAAATAGACCGAACCTCTCTAGAATGACATTTTATATCAGCTGTAGAACATTCTCTTCCTCTTATTTTTTTATGCATTGCGTCCTCAACGCCAAATTAATTCAATTGCATTTACCAGTTCAATTAATTCAATTGGTAATTTAAAATGTAGAGGGAGTTTACATGCAACTGAACTAAATTCAACCCCCAAACATTAAAAATATGGCTTAAAAATCTCGTTTTGTAGCCAAATAAATTTGCTCGCAATTTTCACATGATTTTTCACATAAAATACTTGATTTAAACTCCACGGATAAAATCCGGAATTGCATTCCCTTCAACAATGAAATGCTTTCAGGAAATATTCGAATGCTGAAATTTCCCTTTCTCGGTAAAACAATTTCTGATTCAAAAAGGTAAAAATGCAGCTGCAAAATCGAGTTGATCACTCGTTCAGAATTTTTTTCTTCTGGCCAAGGGGAAAAATACAAACACGAGGCTTCAAATCATACGTACTGTACGCACACAGTTCTATCTCTCAACTCAAAGATTAAAATTTGCTCTCACTACATTCAAGTTAAAGGGAAAACAATGAGTGTAACCCTGGATATTTACTCAGTGTTACTGGGAAATAATTGAGGAAATCAGCACTCACGGCAAGAGGAAGAAAGCCGAGTCCCACAATGAAATTGGCGCTCCAGTTGGTAGTGACGGCAATGGCAGTGGCCATTGGTCGAGCACCCTGGGCAAACAGCTCAGTGACCAAGAACCATGGGATCGAACCCGGGCCGGTGGCGAACATAACCACAAAGCCGATGACCAGCAGAATGGCGCAATACCTCAAAGCTGGAACCTCATCCTGTCATTTCAGAAGGGAAAAAAATTAAATGGTCAGTAAATGCAAAAAAATAGAATATTGTTTGAGGGATCTCTCAACATCTGCGATTGCTTGGTTTTCTTCCTTCTTTTTTCTTTTATTTCTAGATAATAACAACAGATCCTGAAATCGAACGTCAACCAATCGATAGCCGATGTTTAACTATCGATGGTCAATATAAAATTATGACAGGCTAGTTAAAAATACAAGATTTCCATATTCTCAATATTCATTTTCCCTTAAATGGAGCACCAGAAATACTTCAGATCACGACTTTTAATACGCACAAGTTTTGCATCAGAAACAAGCCCCATTATCAACTTAATCGATACGTAAATTTACAAAAAGTAACCATAAATTAGAGAAAAATAGCATCGGTTGAATAAAATGATCGTACTTGTTCTCTCTCAGCTTATTCGTGCATATTTTAGCGATGGATTTGCCATGAAGACATGACAGAATATCACTTGCCGCCTTCAAAATATTCAACACACCTTCTAAAGCAAATTCTTCATCTGATTGTGAGACTCGTTTCCATATTACTCCAAGCAATTTTAAAAGAAAATAATCATGTACGATCATTCTCAACTCATGAGGAAAATAGTTCTGTAAACTAACTCGTGAGCGACATGAAATAGAAAGTTCAATCAAGTCATTCATGAAAACTGATTTCTAGAAGCAGCACCGATCTCTGACACATCCTGCAAGTTTCGAATCCGGGCAGAATCATACTTTCGTTGTACACTATACCTTCAAGATCAAGCAAATAGTCAGCAGGATAGTGCAGATAAACATGCCGATGAGACCAATCAGCAGAAGTGTCTTTCTTCCTGCTCTTTCCACGAGTACCAAAGATAAAATCGTCATGCAAACGTTCATTGCTCCCATGCCGATAGTAGCAGATTCTGACTGCGATAAAGTCAAGCCTGCCGACAAGAAAATCTGGGTCGAAAAGAAGATGGCCTGGAAAGGACAAAAGAAACATTATTTGGTCATTAAACTCAGAGGTTTAAATCAAAACAATGCTGGTCTTTGATGTTTAAAAAAAATAAATAGGGAAACGTACGCAATTGATACCAGACAGCTGCTGGGCAATCATCATCATCATGGAAATGATCAGTGGGAACTTCAACGACGGGTTCGTCGCCATTTCTCGTAGGGTAACGGTTGGAACCAGCTTCATGCTTTCGTACTCGTTTCTGATTTCTTCCATCTCGTCCAAGACCTCCACACTTTCGCGGAGCCAAGTCAAAGCTATTCAAATAGATTTCCAAAACAAAATTTAAATAAATAAAAATTCAATCTTAAATGATGAGAATAGTGAATACTGTATGACAGTATTTCACATGGTTCGTCCCATTTTCAACAACAACAAAACGCCGAAAATGGGGATTCAAATAAACTAAAATCAACAATTGGAATCTTCCGATGATAAAAAATACTGAATATAGTACAGTGCGTCACATAGTTCGTCCCATTTTCAACAACAAAAAGAGCCGAAAATGGACGTAGATTAAAAAAAATTAAAAAATTAACCATCCGAAATTCCAATGATAAGAATACTTTTCTAAATAATTCAGTGCGTCACGGGGTTCGGTCCATTTTCACCAACAACAAAAGAAGCCGAAAACTTGGACCAAAGATAAGGCGTGAAAATGTCCCCTGTTACGAATTGAGAGGAATACAGTACCTTCAAAAGAAGACAATAAATTTTGAAAATGACTGCGATCACCCCAATTATACAATTTTCGGCAAGAATCAAACTAAAAAAAAAAAAAGAGGAAGATTTTTTTCGACTGCTTCAAATCTCGCGTAGAAAGGCAAGTCAATTAAATTTGGCAAAGAATGTGTCTGAAAATTTAAGAAGAAAATATTTTTTAATTTTAAATGTCCACAGCCGCGAATACACCCATTTAAACATTTGAGCTCGAAGGTTTGACATCCCGAATCTATGACAGTTATCGTTTCATGCTTCAAAAATTTATCCATCATCCCCTTCAATCAAATTACAAAAGATCCACGATTTCGAACATGACTAGCGATTGACAAAGCAAAGTGAAACCAACTAAGTGTTACACACAGAATCCAACGCACGTCGGCAAACACAGTCAAACATGGTGCTCGAAGTGCGCACAAGGCACAAAAGAAAAAAAGTTCTCCTCAATGCAGTGCATCGTTCAATCTTGCTACAAAACCCCCGAAGAAGTATTAGGTTTTTGTTGTCATTAAATTCATTTCATTTACCCTTCTGTGCTTCCACTTCTTTGCCCTGAGCGATGAGGATGTACTTGGGCGACTCGGGGCACAAAGGCAGGGTGATGAGCTGGAAAATAGCTGGCACGACTGTCAACGCCAGTAGCAGTGGCCACGTGTCGGCTGTGCCAAGAACAGACTGGATCCCGAGTATTTGACTGGCCAAGATTGATATAGTGACGACAAGTTGGTATGCAGTGCCGACCTGTGCGACAGAAGAAAAACGCAAACACGGGGGGTTTCCTCAGCTTCATTTTTTTGCCTCCCCGACTCTTTCATTAAACTCGGCTATGATAATAGGAACATTTACTGAATACGAAACTAGGGAAGATAAATGGTACAAGAGTTTTGAGACATACAATTTCAAAGTTCTCTAATTTGAACGCAAAACAATAGCCAATAAAATGTCATTGTTGACACAGCAGGTTCATCAATGCACAGAGCTGAATGTAACGGGGCTGAGGAATTTCATCAATTATGTTTTCCCCATAATTAAAAAGCGATTTGAGTCATTTTTTAGCATCGGTTTTCCAGCCACTGCTGAGAGCAAAATCTTCATGATCATTGGGCGAATTCGCAGTGATTACGCTTTAATTAGCAATAATAATATTTCAATTGAGAAAATATTTCTAGCATCTAAAAGAAAATAAATAAATTTAGAAGGTAACAGGTTTGAATTTTGTTCCAGGTAATTAAAATATTGCCCCGAAGAATGCAGAAATTTTGACTTACGGACGAAGAAGGGGGGGGGGGGGAAATATGTGTTGAGGGAGAGGGGATCTAAAAAATATGGCATGTTTTTTTTTCGTAAATTTGACCGAAGAGAAGACACAAATTCGACACTTGGAGTTTTTCAAATCAAGAAGGATCAACTTCACCAAGTCCAACTATCCGAAATGAGTACTGCAAATTATTTTAATGCGGGAATAAATTAATCATTCATTTCCAGCACGAAGAAAAAAGCAGATGCATATTTAGCATTCAAATACTGTCCATAATTTACACTTGGATAGAATTTCAGCCATGAATGATTCGAAGGTTGAGGGAAATTAATAGGAGAAAATCCAACTATTGACTTTGAACTGCAAGATACATTTTTAGACTTTTAGAATTTGAACGCTGTGCATATTTTAAAAAGTAACCGCCTCGTGAAAGAATAATCCCTGGAAAATGGAGGGATTTTCAGACGAGATCTCATCGTGATGATGAACATTTTTACGTTGTGTTCTTTTTTTTGGGCGCAGAATAATTATTTCATCAAAAGTTTGAGTTATTAATAATTCGCGGGTGGTTTTATTGTTTGAAACCTCTGCCGATTATAATTATTTTTTGTGACGAGTTTGAAAATGGCACTGAAGTACAGCAGATGTTGAGAGTCGAGTGCTCCAACGTGACAGTTTTTAACTGATTATATTCCGGAAAATTAAAATATTATTACCGCTCCACGAAGGTGAGTGGGTGAGACTTCAGTGAGATACATCGGTGCGATGCCAGCGTTGATTCCGGAATTCAGCCCGATGAAGAACCGACCAGCAATGATCATCTCGTAAGAACCGGCCATCTTTGAGAATCCCAATAAAGCCGCGGCAACGAAAGCGAAAGCGTTGTTCAACAGCATACCTCCCTTCCTACACAACGAAGAGAAAGTCATTATAATATACACTCATCCCCCTTTTCCCGAAGATTTCATGTACAGTACCATAAAGGAAAGTTAGAAATTTTCGCCAGAACCTTGACAATTTATTTTACTAGTTACTGAAGCTAAGGAGTCAGAATTCTCCCAAAAACTCTTTGGGACCGCGATAAAAAGTCTTCGTTGATTGATTGCGATTTTAGTTGATTGCAGCCCTGACTTAAAAGCCAGCTTCTTGCTTACCGATTTGAAATTCAATAGAAACCCTTAATTTTTTCCTCACCGGCGCAGAACTTTCTAGACCAGAACAAATTTTCAAAATTCTAACAAGGATTTTAGATTCGGGGAGTTTCATATACACAGCGAAGTCGTACCCCATTATAATACGCCCCTAAAAAGTCGCAATGTCAATTTATTTTGAGAAACAAATCTTCCCAGATGATGAAAACGTTGGAAATCTTGTTAAAACGCCATCCGCCTTAAACACCGAAATAACTGACAACTCGAAAATTCTCCTGCAATTTAATTTTGTTTTCGATTGCCCGAGGATTCAAGTTTCTGTCAGATGCCTCCAATGAAAAAAAAAAACCCAAACCCTGACTTAATTTATTTATTGGGAACATTAGCTAGATATACTTTACGCATCACAGGATTATTTAGATTGCTTTCTAGGATAATGATAATTTTTATTTCCTATTATACTTGAATTCATATTATTCTAGCTTTTTGAAGAAAAAAAAAAAAAAAACCCCGACCGCCCCGTTTAATCGCCGAACCCCTTAAACCGCTACAAACCTCACAAACAAATGGTGGCGGCTTATCGGGTTTTGACTGTATAAATTATATATTCAGTATTCAGGTGGACTCTCTCTACAAGGAGCTTTTTCTACAACTAATTTCACTGTGTAACGCATTTGTTTGTCCCGTACGACTCTCTCCCCTATGTTATAGGGGTTTTTCTCTAAGAATAAATATTTTTCTACGACAAAACTTTTTTTCCGGTCCATTGAATTTCGTTGTGGAGAAAGTTCACCTTTATTACAGACCCTAGCCTATATTCTTCGAGGATTTGTTTCAACTTCAGCCCATCTCTCTAATAAAACCCGGACGAGCAAAAATTATGAAGGTGGTCAGCAGGGAATCATAAAAGATTACTCGCATAAAATATTACGACCATTCATCCCAAACGACAGCAATGAAATCACAAGGCTTCTGCGCGTTTTTAAATTTTTTTCTTAACGAACATATTATCTCACTATTTCCCGGCCCTACCTTCCAAGTCGTTCGGAAATCACGCCGGTCACGGAACCTCCAATCATCCCTCCGATGCAGAAAATGGAAACAGCCCATGACCAAATGATCTTCACTTGCGAGTCCTCCAATCCTTGGCCCGTCCGACGGACATTCGTTTCGTTGATGAACTCTTCAATGAGCTGGCAAAAAATATTAAAGAAAGAAAGAAAAAGAACATTCGAATATCAAAATTTCCTTTCGAAAGTTCAATCGTGCGTCAGTCGATGGGTGCAACGCGTCAAGTCTCAACGAGAAACCCGCTGGATCACGCG